TTAAAACTTTCTCTTTTGCAATATTTCTTGTATGTGTATAACAGAATGTAAAGATATATTCCACTACATATTAGAAATAATTGGTTTCAAATAAATAATGCATGTTTTAATCTTTTTCTGTATTATCTTTATTAGGTCCATTTTAAAATTCCATTTTGATTCCTACGCAACAAATTAGTTATCATATGAATCAGTATTCTTTCGTATAAATATTTTTCTGATGTTCCTTGTTGTTTAATGTAATTACTTATTCGATTACTTGATATATATAAATATGTTATAAAATAATTCAAATATCTTTTTTAATATGTTAAAATATCGCTAAAATCAAATCACCCAGATATGATTGTAAGAAAAAATGTATAATAATAAATAATAAATGAAGAATGGCATTGAGACTTCCTTTTTTTCGAAAATCAGAGTGAACAAAATGGCAATAAATTCAAGTAATAAATCAATGAATTATATTATCCTCAAACATATGTTTTGTAATCCATCAATTCTCAATACTCATTTCACTTGTAAACTAGATTGAGTTTCATTATTAATCAGAAATCCATTATCTTTTTTCTATGTTTATTGAAACCATAAGTAACAAAACATCAAGTAGAAATTCAAATAATTCAAGTTAATAATAATTTATTTATTTAAAAATTTTTAATAATGTTATAGGCAATTATTCAAAAATCTATATAAGTATATGGTAAAAATATGAATAATTGTTAATATACAATGAAATTTCTAGTATATAATTATAAATATATAATCGCAATTAAATTTATAAAAATCTATGTTACAACAAATTAAAGCAATAAAGGGAAGATATTTACAGAGAAAATTAAATAAGATAAACTCAAGCTTGAGAATGTGCAATTGCTTTACACTTTTAAAAGATGTTTCTATTTTCGTCGAATTTCTCTTTTTTTAAATATAATTTATCTAGAACGCAATTATTTTGTATATATAAAATTTTTTTATATCGATGTATCAGCGGACGCAAATAGCTGCTAAAATAGTGATTTCCAAACAAGAGCTTACAGTGATCAGAGAACGGTTATATTTTTGAATATATCTAATAGCACTATATTATATTCCGATAACAATATGTGTAGAATCATAGTTTATTCAATGTATGTTTGATGAATTTCTTTTTCTATAAATAATTAGTTCTCGAATTATAAAATTCATATGCAATGTCGGAAAGAGCGTATATAAACATTACTTTTCGAAAAACTTCAGCTAAAGCATGCGCACATATGTATCTCACATGATTATAAACAAAATATGATTGACATTAGCTATCGATAACTCCGCTTATAAATTTTACTGTTACATTCGCTGTTCGTAAGTAAATGATGAAATCTCTTTAGTCAGTTTCACGAATTTTTGCAAAAATAATTGAGATCGTAGTCCGAAGTTTAAATTCTTTTTAATAACTTTTATTGATCATTATTATTTAGATTCTTTCTCTAATTAGGAATCATGAAGCGAATGAAAATTATAAATGTATGTTACGTTGATTTAGAATACGACAAGATAAACGTGGCAGATGTAAGTATGAATGCAATATATGATAACACGAAATAAATATAAAAATTTTTTAAATTTGAAAGAAGTAATGTGTTTTATAATATTGCAATATGCTATCTAAACTAAGCTAAGAATAGATGCAAATTTAAAAATTAATAATTTAATAGTTTTTGAATAGATATTAAAAAAATAATAGAATAGTCTACTATTTTTATGATTTTTGTTATATATTTCAACGCATATTTCATATAATATTTCAACGCATGACATACGTATCGTTTATGTTAAAACAAAAACTTGTACTTTTTTATCATATAACACTAATTTTCGTATATCGTTTTAGAGAGTAGTAGAAATGAATAATCTATTTGAAAAAATGTTATTGAAGCAAAAGGTTTCTCGTATAAAAAGGTATGTAAAGATATAATTAAAGATAAAATGTACAAAGATAAAAAGCAACTAAATAAAATTGTTTTGAATATTCTTTTATATTTATAGATTAGAGAAATTGTCGTTAATAATAAAAAAAAATCTCTCACTGTTCGTATCTTTTTATAAACACATTGATGTAGTCATGGCTATAATTCAAAGTTTATATAACTTATCTGACAATTTTAACGGTAATATGATATATATATATATATATATGTAGACTAATAATAATAGGTTTATATTAAATAACAAGTCCTATGATTGTAGTTGTAAAAATATGACATTGTTAGTTACAGCTTGATTTTTTTCTTGTAAATAACAATAAGCAATGCGTTATGATTATTTATGAATATTTCCTATTTTTATTTTTATCTAGATCAAATATATACATCGAACGATAGAGACAATTCGATAATAGCTACACTTTTAAATATATGTAAAGACATCCAAGCACAAACGTTGATGCAATCTATCTTACGGTAATTACACAGTAAACAATTATTCAGTATATAGTATAAGATTCATTCATTTTCTAAATGCATTTGTAATTATCAAAATTCTAAATAATTTTTAATATTTATTCTTATTTATTATTAATCTGACAGTTCATACATTCGTTACAGTATTTCATAAATTTTCTATAATATTAAATATTTATTGTTTTTGTATTGAAATCGTATTACAGAATCGTATTACAGAAGTCCATTACAGCATATGAAGCTCACTTTGAATTTTTTAGGAAGTTAGGTAAATAATTCATTTCTTCATATTAATAAAAATAACATTATCTCATAATTAAAATCTATTGAATTCATCCAGAGCTCATCCAGAGCGAAATGATAATTCTGGAGGATTCGGATCTATATGCAATTATCAATTGCTTAAAAATAACAGAATGCTATCCCCAGTATGCTATATTATATAAAATATGGGTGCAAGAATCTGTAATCGAGAAATTTTTATGGCTTACAAAGAAATACAACAATTTAGACTTATCCTCATCTGTTGACACTTTTCAATCATTGAAGGATATTAAATTTTGTATACGTAACAATTTTTCTAAAAACATAAGCATAATATCCATGTGGTCAGAAAATATTGTAGCTGCGAAGAATTTTGCAATATCCTTAAATGTACATTCTTTACATCACATAATATTACTACATAATGTGACTATTGTCAAGAATTAAGTTATTTATTAAAATAAATTTTTTTTAATTATTTAGAACCATATGGTATTCATAAATTCATATATGGAATTTTCTGGTGGTAAAACGTTTTTGCCCCTTATAGAAATATATTTTCTAAAACATCTATGGTTGGATAACATCTTTAATACTTTATGCGAAGGAAAATCAGATATGATTAATTTGGCAGAAATTACAAATGGAATGAATTTATTAAATATTTCTGAAACAGATTATTTAATATATCATTTATTTTATGATGGTATGTGGCAAAAACCTACACAAAATACATATTGGGAGCACAATGACATTTTATGGGCCAATGCAACAAAGTATGAATGCACATGTTTTCTCGATCTTATTAATGGCAATAACTTTTAAATTTAAAAAATTAAATATATGTAGAACTTGTAATCAATTAATGCATCGTTATTACAGAAGCGATATTGTAAGATGTTATCAATCAGCCAAAAAAGGATTCGAAATTTGGAGTGCCAAATCTGTTAAATCCAGAATAGAAATATTATCTAATCTCAAGACTATGTTAATTTCTCTTGGGTACGTTGTTAACAGAAATTCTTATATGTTTACATAATATTTTACTTATGTTTATTTATTCTTAATTACTTATTGTTTTTCTTTTTTTTTAGTAAACCTTTATTGGCAGCTATAGTAGAACGATTGATAAACTTGCCTCACATCTGTCCAAGTGTCATAGGAATGACTTGTACTTTTGCATTCTCGCAGGGTGCAGAAGTAGAAGTAATGAATTCTCGCATACCACGTGGTGTTATCACTCTTAAGGAAGAAAATGAAAATGTTTTATTTGTCCGATTAATGCAAACTTTAATTATAGGAAATACTGTCATTGTTATTAATGATGGAAATTTTTGTAATATATTACCATATTGCGAAATATTTTCAAGATGTGGCATACCTGCAGGCGTTATAAATTCATTATCATGTGAAAATATACATGTGTTGGAAGACATATTATGTTTAGGTGTAGGGTTCTCGGTTTATGTTAAAAAGTTTTTCGCAAAAGGTACATCAAGAATATCGTATTTATTATCGTATGAAAAGCTTACCACACTTAAACAAATTGTATTTCCTTTAAAATAATTTGATGATATGTAGCTTCGATTTGTTTACATTACATAAAGTATATAAATATTTTAATTGTTTTACTTTAATATTCAATACTTTTTTATATTTTTACTTTTATATTTTTATTTCAATATTATACGTTTATATTTTTTTGTCAATTTTCTGATTAGCTTGATCGATTAAATATAAAAATAGCTAACTGCAAAACTTAATTGATCATATTATTTTCTTTTCTCTTGTCCTTTTCTGCAAATTATAATTTATTTATATAAATGAATTACTCTTATATTTTTTGTACTCTTATACTTTTTAGATACAGAAAAATAGGATTGAAACAATTACTTTTTAAAAATAACTCGCTACCATTATCGAATCAAAAGGTAACTAGATAATCGTTATTAATTATATTAATATTATACTTTCAAAAGAAATTCGTCTTTTCCATTTTTTTAAAACCAGATTAAATAAAAATTTATTTTTTCAATACTTTTGTTATTACTGGTATTATAGTTAATTAAATATATTATTAAAAATAATAAAATTTTTTATTTTTGAATTCGCAAGATCACTAAATATTTAAGAAAATCGCGCGTATATTTTTAAATATATCTTATATGAATATATATTTTTAAATACCTTATATGAATATAAACAAAATATGACTTATTTGCTGTTTAAGACAGTACTTATAAGTTTTGATGTTATATCCACTAGTCGCAATTAAACATCGAAGTTTTTTCCACTTAGTTTCGTGAATTTATTGCTAAGGCAATAAATCGATTATAAGCCTAACATTAATTTCTTTTAATGAAATTATATTGAAATCTAATTAAGAATCATGGAGCGAGTAAAAGCTATAAACGTATATTACGTTGATTTAGAATACGATAAGATAAACGTAGCAGATGTAAGTATGAATGCAATATATGATAACACGAAATAAATATAAAAATTTATTAAATTTGAAAGAAGAAACATGTTTTATAATATTGCAATACGCTATCTAAACTAAACTAAGAATGGATGCAAATTTAAAAATAAATAATTTAATTAAGTTATAATTATTTAATAAGTTTTTAAATTATTCGTAGAATTTGAAAGTAGAAATTATGCTCGGTTTTTGAATAGATATTAAAAAAATAATAGAATAATCTACGACATTTTTACGATTTTTGTTAATGTTTCGACGCATGAGTTGTACGTATCGTTTATATTAAAACAAAAACTTGTATTTTTTTACCATATAATACTAATTTTCGTATATCGTTTTAGAAATTAGTAGAAATGAATAATCTATTTGAAAAAATGTTATTGAAGCAAGAGGTTTCTCTTATAAAAAGGTATGTAAAGATATGATTAAAGATAAAATGTA